AAAAACACCACAAAAATAAAAACTGTTCTGGCCATTTTCTAGGCTAATCAGAAAAAGTTTGTCAGTCAAATGGGATGGGGGCTGGGCACTGCCAAGGGGAACATGGTCCAAAAATGAATTGAAAAAATGTTATTTGGCTTGGAGCAGCAATTTTAGTAATGCTTTAAATGAAACATTAAAAAATGCAAAATTCCATTAAATAACATACCTGGGGGATCCCCTGGCCCTGCCCCTGTGACACCCCCACCCACAGACCCCTTGCAACCACCAGGCCAGGGTTGTAAGGAAGAGATCCTTGTCCTCATCATCAACGGGAACAAGGTGGTTTGTCAGACGGGTCCTTCCCTGGCAAGATACCTAACTCCATGTTAAGGTCACATGGCCTGTTATGACTCAGGAGCCTGGGGGTGCATTCTTGTTCCATCCTGGCCTGCCAGGCTGCATGCTCTGATAAAGGTCTGGATTTTTTGGGGGGACCTTGCTTTTTTTTATGTATTTTGATTGTGGAGTTCCACTTTAATCCACCCTATTGACAGAAAATAAATCAGAAGGGCAAATATTTCTTCTGTTGATTTCCTGAACTACAGATCATTACTGATTAAAAACATTAAACATTAATTCTGTCTGTAATGCTGATCTTTTCTTCAGAAAAAGAAAATCAATAACTGAAGTTTAATTGTCCACAAAGCTTGTGAAAGTCAATCATTAGTTGGGGTTAAGGCTACTGCATATTCATACAGGACACCATTAGTAGACTATGAAAGGGCACAATGTCACCTCCGAGAACAGACCAAGACTTTGTTCACTGCCAGGAGTAGTTTGGTTATGCTTGAATGCATACAAGAAAGTCATGTTTTTTCAGATGAACTCTAATAGTTTGTAGAAACTTTTTCTATCAGTTTTACTTTTTTTAGACTTATGTGCAAAGCACCCTCTAATGAGGGTACAACAACAGCTTTACCTGTCTGAGTGTATTGGTGCAGAGCTATGTTGTGAAGCAAAAAGTGGCGAATAACTCATCTGTCTCTGTTGGAATGTAATGTTCATGTATTTTGTGCAACAACTACATCGATATTCAGTAGAAATATATTCTTCCACCAGTAGATGGCAGTGTTTATAAGTTTGTAGCTGCATCTATAGTAAATGCCATGTCTTTTTTCGCTGAATAAAGTTTCCTGTTTTCCTTTCTTGCAGTGAAGCAGAAAAGCACACGTGGACTGTCCACTTTCTGTTCTGTAGGGCTATATATAGAATTTCTAACAGGTTATGGGCCCAGTCATAGCCAGCTAAAGCGAATAAGTGCAAGATACAGCAACAGAAAGAAGACTGCAACAGAATAAAAGAAAATAGCCAGTAATACTGCTGCAACAAAGCTTTCATATAAAAATTTGATAAACCAGAACTACCAGTCTTGGAAATTCAAGATGCTGCAAGATCACAGCAATAAACTGTATTTGATTAGAAAGCTATACCAAACCAAGCTGATGAATTCCAGAATATGCAGGATTACATAAGGCACACTTTGGAAATGGTTGAATGCTTGAGAGGTATAGAAGAACGAAAAGATTTTCCTGTTACAGCACTATTACTTAGTGGTTTACCAGAAAGTTATGAAAAACTTTTCTCAGCACTTCATGCACTTCCAGATGATGAAATGACATTGGAATATGTTAAGGGCAAACTTATGGTTGAATATAAGCGTAAAACAGAAAGCATTAATAGTGACAGTGTTTCTTTCTCAGAGTCTGCTTTAAAGACAAAAAAGTTGCACCTGATCTTTTCAGGCATGGCGTGTTGATTTAGGAGCTACGAATCACATGACAAATGACAGAATTTCTTTAGTCATCTTAACCAGAGTAAAACAGAAAAAAATCACTACAGATAATGGTAATATTCAGAATATCCTATTTCCCAGAGTGCCACCAGAAAGATACGAAGGATGTGAAAAATGTCCTGTATGCCCCTGCTCTTGAAACCAATCTTTTGTCAGTGATGAAGCTCACAAAACAAGGCAATGTAATGAACTTCCAAGATGATGGTTGTACCATCACAAAAGGGAATATCTTACTTGAAAAGCCTAAAGTTACAGATGAACTGTATCAGCTGAACTGCAATGAGGTGGAACCCTGGTTGAGAAACCCTGCTCTATTCTTTTAGTAGTTCAACCCTAGTGTGTCCTCCTTTCAGTCTGTGTAAGTGGTTGGTTGTAGTTTACTTAAATTTGTACCCTCTTATAATAATTTTAGGATTCCCAGTGGAGTTCCATGTCTTTAATAAATGCACTAGGCCTATGACCTCAAGCATGTATGCAGTCATGGACTACTTCTAATACCCCTATACCATCCTGGTCACCTTTGTGACGATGTCACGCAGTTAAAACATATGTTACCCTAAAAAAATGTAGGGTGGCCAAACAGAGAAGTCATCAAGAAAGTTCTAAACCGGTCCAGGAGACCGGTAGATCACTGCAATCCTCAGAGAAATGGGAGAAAACAGCTGAATGCAGTGAGTCTCAAAAGAAGAGAAGGATAGAGAGGGAGGGTTAGGGTTTATGTATGAGCATCCTATTGTTACAAGTGATGGATTGAGACAGGCGAGTGCAGCCAGGCAGAGGCAAACTACAGCAAAACCAGAAAATCTTCACCAAAGCTAGTTTGACTCTTGTTTGTTTATAAGAGCCCACAAACGTTGGTGAGTGAGTGGGACCACTGGTGAAGAGCACAGTGCATGGATTGCACGATTGTATGAAGAGCACCTAAGCACTATTTGGAAAATATTGATATCACTTTCACACAAGTCACAAGGGACTGTATTGGGGCATATTCGTGTTTGCTTTGTAATTATGAGAGGATCACACAGGTCAGCGCTCTTATATTTTTGATTGTAAACCTGCAGGAAAGCTGCATGTGCAGTGCGCCCGTGGTCTGAGTAATATGTATTCACAGTACTAAATCTGCATAAACGCAAATATTTCACATGCATTTATGCTGACATATTCATATGTTTTTGAATATATATGGTATAATTATCGTATACTATTATGGATAAAAAAAAACTTTTACTAATGATTTACTCTTTTTTTTAGAGATTCTTCTACTATTTCTGCACAATCTACTACGCGTTGACCTGTTTCAAGGAGATATATGTATTTTGTTCTTTTTTTTATTTTTGTTATCTACTAATATATGTGGACCATGTATGGCTTTTTAGCAAAGTTGTATATACCTGTACTTAAAATGGAACTTTACCCATAACAACTTGATTAAAAGGAAACAAGGAACATATATTCCACACTAATAATTCTACTACCAAAATTTGTGTGTGCTCTAAATTGCCTCCAGCATGACTCCTGTTTCTTCTTGCTGGAAGCTGACATTTTGCTGAAGGCTAGAGCCCCTGAGCAGCAGTAAATCTTTAGGCTCTCAGCCTAAAGATTTACTGCTGTTACTCAAAGAGTAACTGAGCATGTGCAGAGCAGGGTGAGCCAGTGTATTATTGGATTTTAAACAGTATAGGCACTTATTTTTAGTGTTTTACATAGATACTGTATACCTGCAAAAGAGGCCAGCATGCAGTCATCTAGCAGGACTTAATTTTCCACTTTAATTCATCTTATTTGCATTTGTACAGCCGGTAGTCCTTAGTCATAGTCCCATTCATTTAGAATTGTTCTGTGATTTTGATGATGTTTTGCTACCAATCCAACCGGTTTTTTCAGTTCTAATGAGCATCAGGAACAAACTCCAGTATCTATAGCCACAATGGTGCCATGTAGTCTAGGATAGGTTTCAAAGCCAGACTTCATGACACCAAAGGAATGGTTTAGATAATTAGAAAAGGGTGGTGTCACAAACTTCCACATCTTTCATTGTGTTCTTGGACATCCAGCATCTGTCTTAACACATTGCATGGGGATTGAATTAAAGTAACCGAGTTAGCTCTAGGGGATATACTGTAAATGCTTGGGTATGCTCTTAACTTTCCTTAGAAATGGAGAAGCTGCTGGGATGAGTAGTAGTAAAATGTTTTTAACATTACAGAACAAGCCCAGTTGAATGTAACTAAGCACTACTAGCTACACCTACATCATCCATAACATTATGACCACCCACCTAACATTGAGTAGGTCTCTCTTTTACTGGAAAAACAGCCCTGACCCATCAAGACATGGACGTCACTGGACAAAACATCACACTACCTTCACTGGCTTGCTTTCTTTCTATACTGCATCTTGGTACCATCTCTTCCACAGCAAATGAAACATATGTACCCAGCCATCCACATTACCAATGTAAAAGAAATGTGATTCCTCAGACCAGGCCACCTTCTTCCATTGCTTCATAGTCCAGTTCTGATGCTCACATGCCCATTGTAGGTGCATTTGGCCATGGACATAGGTCACCATGGGCACCCTGACTGGTCTGCAGCCTCATATACAACAAACTGAGATGCACTGACACATTTCTATCAGAACCAGTATTAAAGCGTTACTAAACCCACAACAGGAAAATCAGTCTGTAGATGCAGTAAAGCATGCTTGTTATACTCACTGTGGAATCTGAGGGGTTAATCCTCTGCATTGTGTATAAAAGGCTGTTTGATCCTGACTTCTCTAATCCTCCCCTTCTTCCAGTGTCCCCCTCTTATCTCCTGATAACACATATCATGTGGAGGCACTCTGCACATGCCCAGTCAGCACCATCCAGACAGAGGTCAGGGATTCTGCATCCTCCTAGAGCAGAAAGAAAACTCCTCCTATAAGCTGTAACCAGTGCTCTGCTGAACACTGATAGAAGTCACAAGACTGATCTAACTCCTGATGAGAAAATGTATTTAGCAGTTTATATTTACTAAAATAATTGCATTTACATGTTCTGTGTACTGTGGGAGACCAGATATAGTGAATGCAGGGTTCGGGGAGATCACATATAGTGAATGCAGGGTCCAGGGAGACCAGATATAGTGAATGCAGGGTCCAGGGAGACCAGATATAGTGAATGCATGGTCTGGGGAGACCAGATATAGTGAATGCAGGGTCCTGGGAGACCATATATAGTGAATGCGGGGTCCGGGGAGAGCGGATATAGTGAATGTGGGGTCTGGGGAGACCAGATATAGTGAATGCACGGTCCGGGAAAACCAGATATAGTGAATGCAGGGTCTGGGGAGACTGGATATAGTGAATGCAGGGTCTGGGGAGACCAGATATAGTGAATGCAGGGTCCTGGGAGACCAGATATAGTGAATGCAAGGTTCGGGAGACCAGATATAGTGAATGCAGGGTCCGGGGAGACCAGATATAGTGAATGCAGGGTCCTGGGAGACCAGATATAGTGAATGCGGGGTCCGGGGAGACCAGATATAGTGAATGCAGGGTCCGGGGAGACCAGATATAGTGAATGCAGGGTCCGGGGAGACCAGATATAGTGAATGCAGGGTCTGGGGAGACCGGATATAGTGAATGCAGGGTCCGGGGGAGACCAGATATAGTGAATGCAGGGTCCAGGGAGACCAGATATAGTGAATGCAGAGTCCTGAGTTTAGTAACACTTTAATATTTTCAGCAATTTGAGATACAGTAGCTCTTCTTTTGGATCTGAAAACAAGAGAAATCCTTCACTGCCCACACGTATCAATGAGGCTTGACCCCCCATGGCCCTGTTGCTGGTTCACTGGTTTTCCTTCCTTGGAGTACTTTTGGTTGGTCCTGATTACTCCGGCCTGGGAACATCCCACAAGAACCGCTAATCAGCAGTTGCACTGACCCAGTCATCTAGGCATTACAAATTGGCCCCTGTATAAGTTACTCAAATCTTTACACTTGCCCATTTTTTCTGCTTTCAAAAAATCAACATCAGGGACAACATGTTCACTTGCTGCCTCATATATCCTATCCACTTTCAGGTGGCATGTAATGAGATAATAAATGTTATTCACTTTACCTGTCGGTGCTCATAATGTTATTGCTGATTGGTGTACAGTGACCCAGATACGTAAACCCTTCACTGGCTTTGTATTTGTACTTTACTGAAAATTGCTCTGTGTAATGTGCAGCCCAAAGCATGAAACAGAATCCATGTTGTACAGGTCATAAGGCCTTACTGAATATGCCCAAGGCACTGGTCCCACGGTCTTCTGATTTATATAGTTACTTGACTTCTGATCCCTTTGAAGTTTAATTTGCTAATATTTCTTTTTTCCTTCCTGGTTCAACCCCCCAAACCCTGGTAATAAAATCTTTAAATAACCACTTGCCTGCTGCCCCATAACAGATGTACTGCCACAGGGAGGCTTCACTGGGCAAAATCACGTAAATATCTGTGATCTTGCATTTCCAGGTAGGGGGCGTGCACACTGCTTTACCCTCGCTGCTATTGGCTCCTGAGGGTGTCAGTGGGAATTTAGAGCAAAAGGGTACTGCTTAAAAACCTTTTAATTTTCATAATAAACCTTATTTTAGACCCAGTGACATGATATTCAATGAATAAAAGGGGCAGTTCAACTGGGTAGGAGAAGGCGGTCTCTATTTGTCTTGCTTTAGCTTCTACAGCTGGCCGTACATTAAAGTTTCATCAAGCCCGCAACATTAAAAACTATCAATAAATGGCTGTATTCCATGCTGTTTATACTCGTTCAGTCGCTATGGGATTTGTTTTCTGTCATCTGCAAAAGACCTGGTTAATCCTGCTGTTCTCTGTCTACCCCTCCTGTCCATGTTCCCACTGCAGTTGGGGATTTTGCAGAACAGTATTAGAAGCTACTGCACATGCTCAGTTTTCAGTGTATTTTTACCCTGAGCATTTTCTCCTTATCACATCTGAGCAGCCCAAGTGACTTTAGAGTCACGCATGTGGGCGTATACACATTGGTAAATGACAGTCCACTCCCTCCCTCCTCCTCCATGCCCACTAACCAATTAAACACAATGGGGGTGGGATAGTACATCTTAATTGGTGGAGGCTTCACCTTCCTGTTATTCTAAGACACAGGCTGGAGGGGAGTTAAACAGCCTGTAACTGGCAGAATCCACCCACACTATGTTACTGTCAGGAATGGACTCGCCAATAGTGGTGGGACTCACCTGCCTTGTGGGTTGCAGTACCAGGACTGGCCAGCGGGTGCTCTCAGCAACCAGAGGCTCACTCCTGCAGTCAGCCAAAACACCTGAGGCTGATTGCAGGAGGTGCATATAAGGAATGGCCAGACTTGCAGTCAGGGCTTTGGTGTATGTTTCCCAAGAGCCCCTGTACCTGCATCCAGTCTGCTTCCTGTCTGATCCTGCTTGATCCCTGACTCTGATTGAACTCCGCCTGTCCTGACCTCTGCTATTCCTGACCACTCTCCAGTCTGCTCCTTTGGTACCTTGTCTGCCTGATTGTTCCTGACCCGGCCCGTCTGACTACGCTCTGCCTGCTCCTTTGTACCTTGCCTGCCCGTTTGCTACCGACCCGGCCTGCCCGACTACGCTTAGTATTGTTCTTTTGTTATCTGTTGGGGGTTTTGGTTTGTTTGCACTGTGTTTATGTTTAGTCTTGCACTGCGTTTATGTATTGTTTAGTCTTAAATAAATGATATTGTTTATACTATATCTGAAGCCTGCGTTTCCCTGTGTCAGTCCACACACCTCTTGTCATACCTGGAGCCCTGACAGTTACTGTCAAAAATTAAAAAAAGATTTTATTTTAAATATATGATTGTAGGACAATTTAAAACAGTGTATTGATATTAATTATTTATTTTTACTCTGTATCCCAAAGGCTGTTTTTTTTTTAATTTTGAACATGTGACCAGCAACAGAGGACTAGAGGTTTTTTCCTGCCACTGTTTCCCTACAGGCAGAAAGGGAAAGAGCTGGGTCATGTGACAGCTGTATATTGATTAGGAAAGAAGGCACTTAGATGTTTTTCATTAAAATAATTACAGTGCCATCCAGGGGCAGACTGATTTGAGCATTCGGGCATTGCATTAAGAACATGTCGGTTTTTTCCTGCACTGTTTCCCTGCAGAAAGGGAAAGAGCTGGGTCATGTGACAGCTGTATATTGATTAGGAAAGAAGGCACTTAGATGTTTTTCATTAAAATAATTACAGTGCCATCCAGGGGCAGACTGATCATTTGAGCATTCGGGCATTGCAATGAGGACCCAATGAGCCCCTGGTACCTTTCATAGGCTTTTTTTGGGTGTGGTTTGAGTAGTGTGGGCGAGGACACAGGGGCCCCATGATCCTCTACTGCCCGGGGGCCCCATGATTTGTCAGTCCGCCCCTGGTGCCATCATCCACATACAGAAAGAGAAGGAGTAATGTAAATCAAACAGTGTGTGTTTAGTATCACTTTAATCAATTTTTTTGATCAACCAGCAGGTTGATTAAAAAATAATAATCTGATTCCCTCTTCCACACACTCTATGTGGATGGGGGAATCTTTCCCATGGATGGTACTGTATTCTGACATCAGGGAGCTTTCTCTGCCATCAGAATGCACTGATCAGTGCTGCCGGCTATTGCTGGCAGCACTGATCATTTAGGAAAAACCCAATAGGCTTGTTGTACACAAGTCAATTGGTAGATTGTCTTGTATACAACCAGCCTGCCCATACATGGATCAAAATTTGTCTAGTCCCTGCTGAACCAGCCGAATTTCGATCCATGTACTTATTGCACACAATGAGAATCTAACAGTGTGCAGTGAAATCGGAGACAGAGGCAATTTGTGTAAGCGTTGTGCAAGGTTGAAGGGAAGGCTGGCGTTCAGCTTTAAACTTCTTTAGGTTCTTTATCTTATTATTTATTTGATGTTATTTATTTATCAATCTGCAAATATATGTTGCGCTCCTAAATACTTCTCAATAAATAATAATTAAATTATTACCATTAAGTTAATTCAAATGATGATACAAATAACTAATAAAAGTGTATAAATACCAAAAAATATTTAAATAGATAGTTTCAACTAATCAATCTCCTCCAAATAAATATCAAAATAATTCCACATGAAATTGTTTATTCAATGGGACTATTATTTTGATGATATTTAGATTCATACTAATCACTATTAATTATTTAGGAGCATTTGGTTATTTTTATTTATGGGGGATCATCTAAATGCATTTTAGTTGAGGGTTATTAGTTGGTTTACTATTTTTTTATTATATTAAATGAGGGTATTATGAATATAAATGAAATTGAGGGTATTAGTAAGTACATCATGTCACTAATAGATGATTTATGAGCACTTGGTAAAATATTTTTTAGAGGAGTATTTCATGTGGAATTATTTTGATATTTATTTGGAGGAGATTGATTAGTTGAAACTATCTATTTAAATATTTTTTGGTATTTATACACTTTTATTAGTTATTTGTATCATAATTTGAATTAACTTAATGGTAATAATTTAATTATTATTTATTGAGAAGTATTTAGGAGCGCAACATATATTTGTAGATATTTCCAACACAGTTGTAGTTATGTGTTTCATCTCATCATCACTATTATTAGTAGTAGTATAATAATATTAATAAAAATAATAATTTTTCTATACATTTCAAGAATTTTAAATGTGTTTTTTGCATCACAATATATGAGAACATTTTTCGGCGATATAGATATTATTTAAAGTTAGTGCTCTAATACACAAGGCAAGTCTTTTTGACTTAGGGCAGTGAGGCATTATTACTGAAGATATCAGTAAGCTCTGAAACTGCTCAGTAGAGGAAATTTTCCTTTTATTACAGTCTGCTGTTCGTTGCCAAGGAAAAAAAAAAAGAATATCAGTGATAGTGGGATTTAATTACCCACAGTGTGTCAAAAAGATGTCAAGGGATTTCTAGTTATGAGTTTCACTGCTTCTTATTTCTCTCTGGCAAAACCATTTAAACTGGGTATTTTTTTTTTTTAAAGCAGTAAAATTAAAATAGTGTGTGATACACAGAGCAATAAGGCCTAACGATTTCATTAACAAGTAGCTGTGGTAACTTTTAAATAATTTAATGAACGCACAGCGGCTTAGGTCTGGTTTAATATAGTAATTGTATTAGACATTTAACGCGCTATCATAAAATAGATCTCACAGGTATACCTAAGAGGTTAGAAGGTTCTTCCACAGGCTAATAAAAAAGAAGTCTAAGAAATCAAATGTTCTTATTAATTTTTGGGTTATTACACACTTCCCTGTGCACATTATTGTTCATTACTTATAGTGTGCCTTTTGTTTTCTGTAAAACCAGCATGGCTTATTATTTCCATGTATGTCATTTAATTTGTTATTGAAATATATGTAAACTCAAGAATGAAAATGTAGTATATTACAGCTTGCCATCAGTCAGTGCTGGGACATGGTCATCCTGTGCCCAGGGAAAAAATGCCAAAATGCGCCCCCCCCCCCCCTTTTTTCATGATGTGAAAGCTTAGGAGCTTTCACTACGTCCCACGGTCACACTTGTCAAAATCACTCT